CATGTACTGTAAAACATCACTGTACCAGTAATCCAATATGGATTTCACAATGTCACAACATCGTGAACCCACAGTGTACATATAGTACCAGTATCAGTAATCAGTGAATAGTAATTAATAATCACATGCTATAAAATAAAAAATATTAAAATATTGTATTTTTAAAAATACGATTTAAAAAGATTTTCTTTTCAGATCGACTGAGGTTGACTCATCGCAAGTCATCCTCGTATCATTTTATATAAAAAGTTAGTTGCAATCACATGTTGCCTCACTAGCTTTAATATTACGACCACTTCAATCTCGGTTTTTATCCTTTTTTTTAATTCACTTTAACCTTGCTTTCGGTCACTATCTAGACGTCAATCGATTTCCCGACATATACAATTTCAAACATATATTAGTATTTCAACTAATATACTAAACTCAAATTTGCATAATATTTTAGAAATGCTATCGACTTAAGTTCGATAAAAATTTTAGTCACCCACTCAAGAACTAACTTTAATTCTATCAAATCCTTGAAATATCATTTATCACAATAATTTCACTTAACTTTTCAACCATTCATTTTTAGTCACCATTCAAGCTTTCTTTAAAATTAAACTCAACATTTCACTACATTTAAATTAATTCTTTGGTGATCGCTTAATCCAAATCAACCATCACATTTAAACAATTTCACAATACTTTCAAAAAATACTTCAACATTGCCAAATTCTCATTTCATCATTAATCTTTCCAAAACTTGCAACTTGATCACTAAGATTTATTTAAATTCTAAATCAACCCAATACAACATTCCATGTTAATCTAGATGCTCCATTTCATCAATCCAACCATAATTTCCAGCATGGTACTCTAGTTTTCCAACAATTTCCTATTAATCCTTCACTTTTCAAACCATGCACAACAGTCCTTAAAACCCAACAAAGTTCCAATTTGATCCAAAAAAAAATCAATTTCCAAGCATCTAAGATCATTCTAAACCATCCACATATCAAACTGACAAATTTTTAATATCTCTCCATAATACCCCATCATAGCCAAAACTTTAAATTAAGTCCCTCCTAATCATTTCCAATCAATTTTTATACTTGTTATACTTCCATAACACTCCTAAAGTTAGATTACAACCTTATCTAAATCAAATTCAACTTTCTCTTCAACCACCATAAATACCCACTTCACCATTTAAGCATGAAATAATGAAATATCTATACCAATTTGTAGAGAATTAAGTGTAGAACATTTTCTTATTTCACACTCTAGTCCGAATTCTCACTAAAATGGATCAAAAATGAAAAAGAAAAACTTTGCTCACCTTGGCTATGGAGTAACAGCAGAATGGAGAAGATGAAAGGAGAATTCTTGAGTTTTCCATACAAATATCTCTTAATTTATCTTAAAAACCCAATTAAAAATTCATTTTAGCCTAAAAGTCAAAATTACCCTTAATGAATCCTAATTTTTACCACCATGCCATCCTTTTATCTCCATTTTAATATTGTTAAATAAATATAAAAATCTCATTTATCAATTTCCATCTTCACCCTTCCAATTTTCCAAAAATTCAATTTAGTCATTAAATTTAACTATCCCACTTTAACATGGAAATTCCTCCAAATTCCACTAATTCACATCAAATTATACTAACTAAAAATATCAATATAATTTTTCTAACCTCAAAAATTCTTTCCTTCAAATTTTGTAAGCTTCCGATTCAATCCGATTATCCGAATATTTTATTGGACTCTATCGCTTAATAAACTTTTATACCAACTTCAAATCAAAAATCTAAAACCCACTAAAATTATATTATTGGGTTGAACTACTCAATTACAGACCCAAAATATAACTTTTGAAAATTTATATTTTAATCCTTGGACTTTTACAAATTTACACTTTGATCCCCATACTTTTGAAATTTACTTTTTAATTACCAGTCCAAAATTTTGAATATTACAAACTATGTTAAGTACGACTTTGTGTGATGTGATCTTTGAAGATTATGAATGTTATATTGTCAAAATTGTAAGAATGTGACCAAGCATCAATCCATGACTAACAAGGTGAGTTTGGCATGAGATCATGCATACTACAAGATAAAATGTTGATTGATATTCAATCGATAAGTATGCTTAATGATCTTAATGAATCAAATGTGATCGTTGTACGTTTGAAGCATGTTTTGATATGGATCAAAATAGTTGGGTGATATATGATGATTTATGATTATTATGTTGGGTCTAAGATAAGTTCAAAAGAAGGTTTTTACCATTTGGTGCTTTTTTTATCAGTACTATACATATGGTATCTTACCAAATTAGTAGGAAGTATCCAACTATGAGAGTATCTAAATGGTATTGTGGAAGTAGGAAAAGTGGAGAGTGATTTTAAAGATAATGAGAATGGCGTTTATAAGGTTGGATTTGACTGGGATAAATGGATCATTCAGATTCATGAGTTCATACTCGAGCATGCTTTAATTTGGATTGTTTTAGGTAGGCATGTGTTTGTTTGAGTTTGGGCCTAATCGGCTTAAGTTTAGGTTACCCATATCAAAATTGTTGCTGACATACCTCTTTGTATTCCCACTTCAATCAAAACATGTTACATGTCACACTAGGTGGAAGATATAACTCATGTTCTCCATCGATGCCCGCTTGCTTTTGATATTTGACGTAGATTGTTAGATGATGATAAACTCTGGTCTTTTATGCACATGTCACATGATGAATGGCTCCCTAACTAATGTGAAAGGACAAAGAAATTTTCTGGTTAATGCAAGGCACTGTGGATTGTTATTTCTCATCACTTGCTAGAAAACCTAGAAGCGCTGCTGTCGTGTGTTGCTTCAGATTAACTATGCCGAGTGGGAAGATTTATTGGTTCAAAGTGTGCGGTTCAAGAATGGATAAAAGGAACCGAGGATTCCCGGCCAAGAGATTAAAGACACAGTTCGAGTTATGAAGTTTCAAAAGAATTTATTGTTGCATATTTTGATAGTGATATTGAAGACATGCAAAAGGAGATTTGTTGCAATGAGTTTTTAATTGCAGTGGAAAATTCTCAATTGATCTAATAGTACTTCAACGGATATTACGTAAGAATTTAAGTTGATGAAAACTTAACAATGGAGTTTCAATGAATATTTTAACTTACGTAAGAATTGAAATTGTTGAAGATTCGAAGATAAAATTTTTAATGGAATTTGTGTCAAGGGAAAGATTGTTGGATATAACTCAAATTCTAATTGGTATTTAAGTTGGATTTTTTTTGAAATTTTAGTGGTTGAAGATTAGTTGGTAATTCAGTTTATTTAATAAGTAAATGCTTATTTTGGACAAGAAATCTTATGGAATTAGGTTTCTTGTGACCAAGTATTTGATTCTATAAATAGAGAGTATGTCTCGACCTTTAGAATTATGAGAGAATTATTTTGGAGAGATGTAGTCTTTTTGTAGTCTCTGCAACTTTGAGAAGTTTATATTGCACAGATAGTTTTGTAGGGATATTGAGGTAGTGATTTGGTATACTCTAGGTTTCGGTATAGATATTGAATTTTAAGGTACATGTAATAATGTATTTGTACTTTTGTGATCTCTATATATGATTAATATTCTTCTCATTTGTGGAGGTGGACAAGATTGGACCACATTAAATTTCATCTCTTGAGCATATCTTATTTTATATTAATATCGTTTTTATTTTATTTTTTTACTCCAAAATTCTTAATCGTTTCAATTTAAGTTTTCTCTAAAATAAAAAGGTAAAATATAGTTTTTGGTATTAACTTTAGGTTTGATACATATTAAGAGCTATCTTAAACAGGTGGTCAAACGTTAATTAATGCTAAAGATTTTCTCCTTTCACATATGGTATCCTTTTAATAGAAATCTACAAATAAAGTATGAATCATTTTTATTGACCAGCAAATTATCCATCCTTTGTTCTTACCAAAAATAAATAGCTCTTTTGTATAATAATCCCCATTCCAAAAACCATTATTGTTTATTACATTATCCACTTGAAATCTGAAGTTAAAGCTTCAATGGCCAGTAAAGCAATTTTCACTTTTTGCCTTCCTGGTAGTTATTTCAGGTAGATTTGTGGCATCTGATTTAACCTTCAACTTCGACAACGAATGCTCATACTCGGTGTGGCTATCGTCCAATCCTTCTATCGGCGATGACGATTCAGAGAGAGCACCGGGCACATTGGAAATATTCTCAATGCCGGATCCTTAGACCGGTAGCCTTTGGTTACAGACGAGGTGCTTGTGGGATTATTTCATGGTAAACTTCACTTGCAATACCGGGGACTGCAGGTCTAACTCAGAGGATTGTCAATCTCCACCAGCGAAACCACCGGTGATATTCCTCAATTACCGTGCCCCCTAGTCGCCTGCACTAGGAATATAATAGATGTATGTCCTTCATCCTTGGCGGATATAAACAAAAAAGGAGTGTATGTGGGATGCAATGGTCCATGCGTTGCATTGAAAGATCCTAAATCACAGGAAGCTTCGCAGGACAGGGTTGCCAGCCTAATGAATGCTCGGAAAACTTCAAGCAGCTTTGTCCATTGGCACATACATATCCGGGAGACACCACCGATCCCCCAATCTACAAATGTAGTGGGGCAACTGCTTACAATATTACATTCTGTCCTTCGTAAGGTTCTGCCATCTTTGTCATTGTAATAAAATCTTGTTTTTGTACTAGGAAGTTTCCGAAACTGTTTATTTTTATCAGTATTATAAGATAATATATATCAAATTTTCTAAACCATCAATAATATCACAGTTATTTAAATACTGATTTACTCTCTTTTAATCACTTCTGAAACTGTTAAAGCATTGGGTAAGAAAAGAGAAAAAATAAAGGCACCAAAGGTGGACCATTTCAGTCGAAATCCTCACGTAATTACTGGTAAAGGATTGACTTCAAGACTCTACAGATCAGATAATTCAATGCCCTTTTTCTCTTTTTAAATCTAGGGTTCCTCTTGGAAACCATTTCCCCTTTATTTCTCTAACATACGGGTTAATTGTCAACACCAATGGCAAAGAAGAAGCAAAAGATTAAGGAATTGAATCAATTTGATGATGTTCCGAGGTTTACTAAGCTGCCCAGAAAAGCTGAACCTATGGATAAACGCTCTTCTTCTTCTTCTTCTTCTTCTTCTTCTTCTTCTTCTTCTTCACCTGCTTCCTCATCAGCTCCAGGTATTTCAATTCCTCTCTCTTACGCGTATTCTACTAGTTTTTCTTCTTTTTGGTGTAATTGGGTATCTTTATATGTTGCTGGAAAAAGAAGAACAATCAGTCTTGCTTACAGAGAGAATTGTTCCTTAAAGCTGCAAATGACTCCAAATCGATATGTTGGATGCTATTTCAGGAGAAATGTTGAAGGCTGCAGATTTTAGTGCATCCATATTCCATCATGAATAATTCTGTATTGCATCATGTTCTTAATTTATATGGATAATTATGTGTAACTTAATAGGAACATAATTTGTGAAGTTCTGAAGTTCTTTTTAAGCGCGTTGTATGTTGTTATTCATTTATTCTGTTATCACTTTCTTTGAATCTCTGGTACCAATATAGAGAGATTGTTATGTGTTATCAATAAAGGAAAGCATTTTGGTGAACTATACCTTAAATCTTGGCAATATTTTGCACAGGTTCCTTACAAGAATGCCCCTATGATAGAGATGAAGCTTACAGTGCGACCTTAACTAATTTTGATGATAAAAAGGATGGAAGGAAAAAATTGCAGAGCTCGGTTAGTTGCAGCAAATTCTGTGATAAAAGACCAGAATCCATGTTGAATTTCTATGAATTTTGGACGCTAGAAGCTGAACCAGTTGCTCTGGATAAAGCTAGTGATCCATGCAGTGGCAGAGTCAGCCAGTATGTATAATGCTATGTCCAGTTTTCATAAGGTTGTGCACTTATGTTATATACATTGTTTACTCAAGAACTTTCTTGATCTTTCTTTTTTCCATTGAAATAGGAAAGTTGTGGAACAAAACGGTGATGTGAAGAAGCTGCAAGTTAGAGGAAGCAATGGTGTTTGCATTACTCCGGGAAATGCTGTATGGGCCAAAACAGCTTGCAAAGTGTGGTGGCCTGCTGAAGTAGGATACTGTTACTTTCATGTTGTTTCAAAATAATTGATTTTGGTTGTCTTTCATTTCTGTTGATTTTTTTTTGCTTTCTGGCTGTCAATCTGCATGTATTTCACTGATAATCCTCTCTCCTTTTGACTATCAGATAGTCATATAACATCAAGTCAGCTATGTTCTATACCTAGAAAATAAAAGAATTTTGTTGGAATCGTGTAGGTATTTCATTCAATCCTATTCCTAATTTTCCGCAGACCGTGTTGAAATTCTTGCGCCCAATGCCAGTGGCATTCGATATAGAAGCTAAAGGTTTGATTAACTATGAAAGAAACTTTGTATATGGAAAAAGTAAAGCAGGTTTAGTCTTTTAAAGGTTCAACCAATAACGAACATTTCTAGCCTAAGAAAACTTACTTTAATCCGTTTTATGGTTTCCCTTTTGACTTGAAACTTCTTGTTCTCTTCCAAAATGAGCTTATTAGAGGAGGATTATTAACTCTTTCAGCACAGAACAAGTTTTCATTCCCTTCAGAAATGTTCTTGAAAAGATATTGACATTTACAGATCATCGGCGAAGGGTCCATTTTTGCTGATTCAAGAATCCAACAAACTGAGGAACGTGTTCTAGTTAAGTTTTACGGGAAACAGAACAGGTATAGTTTCCTTTCGTAAGCTAATCAAGCTGTTGTCTTATAACTCCGAAAATTTTGTTCTTCTACTTGATTATGATCTTAATATTAGCTAATTCTTTTCAGTTTGTGGGTTAATTCAGAAAGAGATCTTTCAATGCTTGAGGATGTAAGTACAAACTTTTTTCTAGCAATGCTAAAATAATCAAGATTGATTATCGATATAGTCTATACATGTTATCGCACCTTAAAACTTTCTATAGAAAGAGTTTGCTTCTGTTCCTTCTTTTATTTTGTTCGTTCTTTCCACTTTGTGATATTCATTTGAAGTAGGCTTTGAAGGGGAATCCCTCCTCTCCTTTGTCTGTGCAATGTGGATGGGAGTTTTTTGCTGGTTTTGCTGGTTGCAACTGAAAATGATTACAGAAAATGATGGTTTTATGATATAAATCTACGGGAACTTAAAGTTATCTTTAATCAAGTATTTTTTTCAGCATATCAAAACATAGGTTGTATGATGTCTACTTTTAACTATTTCCCCCTTTTTGCCAGTACTTTGAAGAAAGGAGCTGCAATTCAATGGAAAATTTCCAAGATGCTTTGAAACAAGTACTTGATGATTTCCATGAAATGTGCCATTTCTTTCCATTACTTAATTTTTTCTGCAACTTAATTCCTGCCTAATTGCAGGCAATAGTACAGAGGAAGAAACATATAAAATCGTGTAGGCAGTTGCCTGGAAGCCTTTATTCTTTCACTCAATCTGCTCAGCAAGACCAAAAATCTGGTATGTGTTGCATTTATCTTTGTGTTACACTTTTAACCTTCTTACATACTTGAAAAACAGAAAAGAAATAAGTTGGACTGAGGAAGACACATAATTCGAAAGTTGAGGATAGATAGTTCATCAATGCTTCATTCTCATTATCTCCTATACTTATTGTAGATCAACCTCTTCGTGTCTTCTAAATCTGAATCATACTTATTTTTTGATGAATACTCTCTAGTTCTAAGTTAGTTGCAGCTGTAAGTTATTTGTTTAGTTGCGTTGGCATTAAGCACTTAGGCTGTCCAATTCTTGTTGTACCACGCTATTCTTCAATTATAGCTAGAAACTTGATAGCATCTGTGGTTTGGGCTGCAGCCCTCATTACTTTTATGTTTAGAAGATCTCCTGTTAAGTGCTTATGGCGTTTGCTGTAACCAGTTCTTATGAAGCTGCAAAGATTCACCCTAATATGTTCTCACCTTCCTCGACAGTAAATATTGATTACGTTTTATTGCCTTCTTATCACTCTGAGATTTCTTTAGTTTCTTGAAAGAGACATTTTCTTTATGCATTCAGGTTATACTTAAGCCTTTTACGCTTTTGAATTCCATTGATTTTACTTGAGAGAGAACACTTTTCAGTCTTTCAGCCGTTGCTTTATCTTGAGCAGGTAAACGTGCTTCATCTATAGCAAGCAAAACTGGTAGTAGTTCAGTGAAACAAGTAGGTAATAAGAAGGAAGACAAGTCAACGATTCGACCTAATGTGAGTCGCCACTCAAATTCTTAGCCAACTTACCTTGAACTACTGCTAATGGTTTGATAACATGGTTTTTGTAGGGTACTAGAGCTCCATTGAAATCTGGTGAAGGAACTCGCCGATTAAAGATAATGCGGCATCTCGGTCTCACAGCTCCGGTAGGATCTCCCTTCTAATCGAGCACTCATTTAACACTTTCCCACAAAAAGAATGTAAAAGTTTCCAATTTTTAGATCATATCACTACCATGAGAAGTCCTTTTTTTAGTATTTAGTTTTGTTAGGTCCATTATTTGTTGTTGATGAATGTATTTGATAATGCATAGGAAACTTTTACCATATTGAAAAAGAAAATTTGTGACACTTTAATTGTTTTAATTTGTTTGATATTACTTGTGAAAAAAATTAATAAGAAAGTGTCAATGCAGATGGGAAGTTAGTTTGTTAATATCAACTAAGATTTTGTAGAGGAAAATTTATTCCTATGCATGGTTGAGTGTTTTGGTGTATGATCTAAAGTTTAAGGCTATTTTTTTTTTGAATAATCTGGAGGGATTATAAGATAGTATTTGTTCAGAATTTTTTTTAACTATTCACAATACACACACATCCTGCAGACGCAGTTGCTCGAACCTAGGATCTATAGGGAGAAAAACACATTTTATTTAACCACTAAGGCCACTTGATGGATACAATTCTTTGAATAAGGCTCGATGCTGGAATATTTCTCTGATAAATCTCCTCGTTACTATTTAATCTAGTTTCATGCGAATGAAAACATTCGAACGCTGAGTTCGACAAATTTAGTAACACACAACTACACTATGATGATTCATGCAGTTAATTATATAAACATGTGATAAAAGTAAAGACACGGATTTATGGTAAAACGGACTTAGATCATCTAAGCATACATCACATAATAACAACATATCATGCATCATTACTATCAGGAATATTACACAGCACAACATAAAAGTAGATGGATCATAGGATCTAGACCACGTAACATTAGACCAATAATCAATGCAATGCCCAGTCCACATAGCATTAGGCATTAGATCAGAACATTATTTGGTCTACATAGCCTCAAACATTAGAGAGGTATGGTTTCCGGACCACATGGTCTCAAACACCCTCATACGACTTTTCACATAGTGCTAACTCGGTCCACGTAGTATTAAGTAAAATCACAAATATCCGATCACTTACCTTACACCATACATAGTTGGATATCAAATAAGGCTATGTAGCTACAACAAGAATCTCCGTGAAATATGATTAACCCTCGATCATACTCTCATACAAGAAATCTTCCGGCAAGTATCCTCTATCGGGCAGTCTTCTGCAATGGAGTCCTCCACACTATGATAATCATGAGCTTATTAGTTTTGAACAATTTCTAATTGATTAACCATAAGTATAATGTCTCTTGGGTTAATGAAACATATCTATACTTATTGCTCATTTCTTATATTAGATCAATAGTAGACTATTGAGCTTGTAAAGCTCAACTTTCGGATGTTTCGGTTTGCAAGTTAGTAAATCATAATTGCTCGTGGAACTCCGATACTGTAGGATTTACAACATCTATATCATAGTACAATATACGAGTAATTTAGTGGACATGTATATCTATAGAACCTGTGTGTTTCGTATGTAACTTTATTTATATTTTGAACTTATTTTGATTTATAATATGTATAACGAAACTCTGATATTCGTAAGAATATTTATGATTTTTATGGACATTAATGTTTTGGTATTAAACAATGATTTATTATATTTTAACTATGAGAAAGGAGAAATTTTAAAATAACGATCGTTTTAGTGATCCAATATAACACACTAGTCCTATTTTGTAATTGACCGACTTTAGAATGTTAAAGTTACTTTTATATATTTTTTAATCACTAAGTTTTAAAAAATGCCATTATAATTTAATTATTTTAGAAACAATAGTTAAAATTTGTACATATAATAATTTTGAACATAACTTTATTTATATTTTAGCGTTTACATATAATAATTTTGTACATAACACAAATAACAAAACTTGTTTAATAATTAATAAGTAAAACGAAAAGAAAATAACAAGATGAGGATTTTATTAGTAATCAAGATTCATGACATTAATTTGTATATTCAAAATTTATGAGAAATAAATAGCTGAAGCACTTCAAGGGCAGAAAGTTATTAGATAATTAGCTCCACCGCTGCATGTAAATGTACTACTCTTATCATCAAAAGCGTAACTATAAGCCAGAGGGCATTGTCCCTTAAAGAACTTTGAATACATTGTCGGAACGCACTTATCCGGCGAGCTATAAGCGCCGGTGCAGCAATATTGCGGTTGATTAAAGGCCAAACACGCACTCTTGCACGCCACAACACTACCGTCCGATCCCTTAACCTGCAATTCCGGGAGACAAACTGCATTCACATTTGCAGGGCAACTCGTGGTCTTGCAACCTGCTGATCCACCTTGTGGGGTGATCGAAAGAGGCAAGTTAAGCCGTCGACGAGGCTGACATCGTAAAAATCTTGCCCGCCGTTCGCCGCGAGGGTTAATTCTATCAGCGACGCTGGTGGGATTCCACCAGCGCCGTTGCAAGTAATCTGACCGGATCCACAGTCCGCGGTGGTGCACTGGAACTTACCGGCTGTTTCTCCGCATTGAGTTCGACCCCAAAAGCGACCGGACCATGGGGCCGGAACGTTTAAGGTTGATGAAGCTTTCGTGGCTAACTCGAAACCGGTCGAGGATAATTGAGCACCACCACCGCCTGTTAGAGTTCCTGGCCAAACTGTATAAGGGCAGTTGTTTGTAAATGTAAATGTAGCTGAATGAACCCTGCCGCAACAACAACAACAAAATAATACTCATCAGCAGGAACAAGTGCATAATTTTATTCTGAAAGACGAATTTATAAAATTTTAAAGGCAGGTGTATTTTAGTAAAACGACGGCCTTTAACCCTTTGGTCCATCCGAAATTGAAAACACATGAAAAGAAGTGAAGTTATTTACCATAGAAGAAGAAAATGGCCAGGGAAATTGAGAAGATAGCTTGAGCTTCCATTACAATTTTTTGGGTTTTTGTTTTTGTTTTGGCTTTAAAGTTGTTTTTTGATTATTCCATTGGAGAACAAATGGTGGTTTATATAGGCCTAAATTGGATCTAAAATTAAATGACTGCTAATTATATTTAATTTGCATCCCCATATCAGTATTGACTATTGAACAATGATGTATTACCTTTTCAGTTAATGTCCCTCCAAACACAATAAATATTAACAGCTAATTTATTTAGATTTGCATGTTGGATTTCCTTATTTATTAAGGGCAGTTAATTAAGGATAACAATAATTTATTGGTTCATTAAGATATTAAATTTTTAAACAATATTTTAGATTTGAATTTTGATAGTGTGAATGAAATAAATTGGATTAAGATATTGCTTTGTTGAGTTACTCAACTATTAAAGTTAAAACATGATCCTCCGGGAGTTGCTTTATTTAGTCGCTTAACTATTAAAAGTTATAAAATGATTACTCAACTATTCATTATATTTCAAACTCGTCTTTTTTCTGTTAAAAAAAATTGTAGTCTGAGTTAAATGTTAACATGATGACTAAGATTGATAGTCGTTTTAGATTATGAGATCATATTTTATCACATTTCAGTCAGTGATTAACATCCAACTCATACTGCCATCAATTTTTAACAAAACACAATGAGTTTGGAACATAATGAATAGTCAGTGATCGTTTTGTAACTTTTAATAGTCGAGGGACTCGACAAAATAACTTTGTATAGTCAGAAGATCATTTTATAACTTTTAATAGTCGGCAGACTCAATAAAGCATTATTCTATAGTTAGGTGACCATTTGTGTACTTTCCCCAAAAAAAATGAGTAATGCTTAACCTTTTATAGAACAGCATGCTAATAATTCAATATGGAATTATATATTTGGTAAATTACTCATGGGGTTACTAAGTTTAAGTACATTTCTATATTTTCATTGGTGTTTGAAAAATCAAATCATGATCATTGATATTATCAATTGATCATAAAACAGTCATTTAAACTTTTTTATCAGTGTGAAGTGATGACAATGTAGTATATGTACTTCATAATCTTTCTTAGTCATGACAATACATACACTACTAATGAACTATTAAAACAATTACTAAAATTAAAATTGATGATTATTCTCGAACTATTACTACTTTGAAAGAAAAATCAAAGACTTAAAGAATTTTTAAGAGATTTCATAGTGTGACCGAGGCTCAATTTAAGAGTAAAATACAAATCCTTCAAACGAATAGTGGGAGAATACTTTATCAAAACTCTTGAGTCTTACCTTCACGAAAAAGAGAGTTCACATTACCTTTTTTGTTGATTTACCCAGCAAAATGGAATAACTAAACAAAAAATAAATATTTTAAAATTTAACTCGATCTTTATCATTCTCTACCAATGTTCCAGAATATTTTTGGACAAATGTCATTCTTACTACTATTTAATTTATCAATAGGATGTCTACCACGCCTTTAAACCTTAATATCCCAAGGAACGTCTTTCTAAATAATTTCTCTTATTTTAAACCAATTTCTATAACTCTTCCATTAGAAGTCTTTGGTTATGTTCATATTAATCAACGGTTAAGATTGAAACAAGGTCTTAAATCTACATAATGTTTTTTTGGATTATTCTTCATATATGAAAGGCCACAAATGTTACTCTCCTACCACCGACAGTTCTTATGTCTCCATGATGTTTCCTTTTTCAAAAACAACCCTTACTATCATAAAACTGAAATTCAAGGGAAGGCGTAACAAAATTTTAATTTCTTAATAATGTTCAACATCTTCCTTCATTGATGCTATATCACATGTTGCACCTTCACTCGAATCAGCATTGCAACTTCTTTCACCTATTGTATCTGAACCAATACTTATATTACAACCAAGGTTCAATCTACTTAAAAATCCAAAACCCACTTTTAAGAAATAAAAAAAAAAAGAACCCAGTGTCAACAAAAAGAGGGAAAAACTCATTTCTAAAACAATTTTACAACCTAAAATTTTTTCTAGAACTTGACCTTAGTCCAACTTCTCCTTAGAGTTTGGAAGGTAACGAACAACTTAGTAAGGAATTATTTCTATATGAAAATTTTGTTTCTTTTATTGATACTACTGATATGTCTATTGCTCAAAGAAAATGTGAGAGAAAATATACAAACCATCCAATCAACGGTTTCCTGCATATGAAAACTTGAAACCTCTTTATGAGCATCTACTAAAAAGATGGGTAGTGTTTGCATTCCTAAAACAATGGAAGAAGCTACAAAAGATCCTAGGTGGAGAAAAGCCGTCACGAAAGAGATCGATACACTCTAAAGTAACAAGACATCGACCATAACTGAGTTATCATATGAAGAAAAAAACAAGTTGTCAAGAAAGAGATCGATACACTCTGAAGTAACAAGACAGAGACATATATATGAAGAAAGAAACAACGGGAGGCAAGTGGATTTTTACTATAAAATACTATAATAATGGGAGTAAAAATGTAATCCCTATACCCAACTTATACGTTACGATTAGATCTAGGGGATTACATTGAAATTTCTAGAACATTCTTTAATACTCTAAAATCAAGGTATTGTCCAAACTAGTAAAATAAGTGTAAAATAACATGATAAATACCAAATAGTAAATAACCAACAATAAAATAAAATAATTCAAACAACATCAGTTAAAGTAATATACGTCATAAATTATGTAACTTAAAATATAGGCACATGTCACGAAATAAAGGCATTCTGGAAGATAGAAATATTACAACAAAAGATACTGTAGATGATGTGTCGTTCCTCCAAGTGCCAAGTTAGGAGGTGCCTATCCAAAAGTATCTGAAAGGAAGAAAAAAAATTTGGAGAGTGAGCTAGAGAGCTCAGTATGTTCCAATAGTGCAAATAAAAAGAAATGGGAAAAATATTCAGAAGGCAATTCAATAAAGTATCATAAAAGTCATAGTGAAGTTTATAATTTAAAACTCATAACTACCTTCCTCCTGTACACCGAAATACAGCTTCCCAGAATTGCATCTATAAGGACTTACCTTATACCCATGGGGCATAGAAGCCAACTTAAGGGAGCATTTTGGGGCCTGAGAGCCTACCCAAGAAAGTTCTTGGGGCCTCAGAGCCTACCTAATCCATAAATCAGGCATAATCATATTTTCCAATGAAAGTAGGTAACCAGGGAGCATATATCAAGCGATCATAGTTCATAAACGGTAAATCCATAAATCAGTAAATTAAAATATCGAACAATTAAAATATTCGTAAACCAACCAAATAACAAATCATATTTCAAAATATATAAAACAATCATATAGCACACAAGGAACACACCTCACAAAAAGGGATCGATCTATGAGTCTTTGAGCACATGCCTTTACGCTCCACAGCAGTGCTCTAACCTAGATCATAATAAAACAGAGTTATTATTGAAGTAGTATTTTAGTCTAAATAATTTTAAGGTTCACGGATAATATGGGTAATCACTGACTACGAGGTCAGGCGGATCAAGATGAGTTGGATCGAGCTGTTGAACGGTCAGAAGAGTCACGAGTACCTTCAATAAACAACACACGAATTAATCTTTGTCAATAATTTAAAATGTGCTTAAATAAAACACTTAAATACATACGCATGTTCGGATTTAACGGTCAATTCGGAGGCTTTTGGGTTCAAATTTGGTCAAACAAATTTCGGATTCGGACTCAGGACATCGAAAAACATAAAATATGACTTTTCTAAAAATTTAACTTTTTGATCAATGTCAAAGTCAACTTTTGTCAAAATCAAAGGTTAGGTCAATAGTTTGACTCAATTCGAGTTGACTCGATTCTGTTGACTCAGCTTGGACTGATTTGACTCGGTTTGATCTAACCAAATCAATTTGGGTCTAAGCAAATCGGTTCTAGAGGCTTCATGGGACAAAGAAGCCCCACGCTCAGGGGTGGCGCATGACGATGCGTGCGGCGGTAACAAATGTTGTTTCGACAGTCCGTTTACTCCCGGTTCAGCTACACACTTAAATAAACCAAGAACAAACCGAAATCACACTAAAATCGTCGGTAAAGTGTTCGAAAATTCACCTCAACAACAGACGAAGGTGGCGCGACGACGAGGGGAACAAATCCGACTGGTTTTTTATCGCACAACACCGGGGAAGCCAATGGACGTGACAGTGAGATGAAACGACCACTGGATTGGCTGAAAAAACGACAAAAACAGTGGTGGGAGTTGATTTTTCCAACAATGCTTCGAACGTTGATTTACGCCAATCGACAACGAATCTCGATGTGAGGGTGCTCAAGTTTTGGTCGGAGCGAGGCGACGATCTCGGTGGGGGTAATGGTACGCACCACGTCGACCAAACCATAAAGGATTTGGTGGAGGAATGGGAGCAACGGATCAGAGTTGGGATTTGGGAATTTGGCGATTTGGTTTTGCAATCTGATCTGGGGAGAAAATGGGTTGAATATTTACCATCTGATAAGTTTAACTTTTTTTTTATAGAATAATAGGCCTCATTAAAAAACTCCTTCATACCCTCCATATTACATTAGTAACATGTAGAACATTGAAGGAGGAAAAGAGTACCTATGGCTTTTATAAATCTGAACGATAAAACACTGCCAGGCCCTGACATCCTGCTGAAACACCTTAACAAAATTACATAAGACTGAAAACATAACTTCCTACATAAATGTAAACATTTCCTACACCTCAACACAGCCAACACAAGGCAAATAATCAACTTATCCCATCTTTAGCTAATTTGTCAGCTTCCCAGTTGGCAGCCCTCAAGATATGCCTTAAAGTAATATCCTTCCCTGCCAAAACAGAAATTATATCCTTCACCAAGGATAGGAACAGAGGGGTGCATAAACCCGGATTTTTTATCCACTTCAGAGCATTACTTGAATCCGATTCAAGAATAATCCTCTGATTAAGAACAGAACTTGATTCTTCCAGAAGACACAACACCCTCTTAATCACCAATAATTCTGTCAAGATAGGAGGTCCACCCCCAACACTTTCTGAGAACCACTGAAGCAACACACCACTGTTGTCCCTAATCAGACCACCTATACCTCCTTTCACCATCGCTCCATCAACATTAAGCTTTAAGAACCCATCCGGAGGAGGAACCCAGCAATTTGGTTGAGAGCAGCCCTTTTTCTGTCTACCCACCGAATCAGCAAGTTTTAAATCACCCACAAGGGAGTCTAAAGGGATATGCACATCATTGAATCTAGCAGCAAACCAAGAAGCTATTCTAAATCGAACAATAAAGAACAACCTCACCACATCCAACTTTCCTTTCTCAAAAATAACCTCGTTCTTACATTTCCACACTGTCCACATCACCGCCCTTGGAATAAATTTCCAAATCATGTAATTCGGAAGTAGATCATCCCACAAAATGAAGAAATCAATTATGGTTTTTGGAATCACCAAAGACACATTCCACATATTCAAAAATCTAGACCACAGGCCTCATACTACCTCACAATGCAAAAAAAATATGTGAAACTGATTCCACCTCCCTACCACATAGTGGACATAAGGGATCATCAATCCCAACCACACCTCGCTTCAACAATTCCTCCCTAACCGCCACTCTCTGATGAGCAACTTGTCAAACAAATATTTCCACACGGAGAGGTGCAAGCCCTACCCAAATATGCCTTTCCCAAGTATCATGTCATTCCCTAACCATATCCAGCAGTCTTCCTCAGAAGCTGACAGGGAGATATTATTCAACAGGGAAATCAGTTGTAGCCATTGTTCAACCTCCCAATCCACCAGATTTTTTCTCATTTGAATATCCCACACCCAACCAGAATCATTATTCACCCTAAACTCCATCACTTTACCCATTTTATCATTCGAGAGAGCATAGAGTCTAGGGAACTGATTTTTAAGGGGGACTTCTCCCAACCATACATCGTTCCAGAACTCCACAGATAGTCCATTCCCAGTTTTCAAACGCAAATTCTTTCTAAGACAATCCCCAAAACCATCAATAGAAAAGAAGTTTTTAACCACTCCTCTCCAAATCCAAGAAGCACGAGCTGTCCAAGAATTCCCCAACATTATGGAATTAGGATCCAAATTGTACATGCAACACACCACCCTCTTCCACCAAGACCCCTTTTCTGAAGCAAACTTCCATACCCATTTCCCCATAAGAGCTCTGTTCAAGAGTAATAAATTCGGAATCCCTAGACCCCCAACTTTTTTGGCTTACTAACCAAATTCCAGTTCACCCAGTGGATACTTCTTTTATCTATTGAACCCTCCCATAGAAATGAAGCCATGATCGAATTTAATTTCTTTAACACAGGACTTATATGATATTTTGATTATTTTAAACGCCACCAGCGGCTTAGCCTAGTTGCTAGGGGAGGGTCGGCCGTGTTGTTCAACAGGGGTTCAAACCTCAACAACCATCCATTTTTTTATCAGATTTTTATCATCTGGTCAAATAAAATGGGAAAATTTGAGCTTAAGGCCCTGGACTACCGGGAGTTTACGAACATACCTCTGAAAAATTCAATTTGATCCCAAAATAAATTAATTAAATTGAAAAGATTTTTAAATTATAAATTTAGGGGTGTGACAAGAAAGATTCAAGACACTAGTAGCTAAAAGATTTACACAATCATATAGGATAGACTATCAAGAAACATATGTATTAGTGACGAAGCTAAATTCAACAAGGGTAGTGTTATCTTTGACAGATAATAAAAGCTGGAGACTGCATCAATCAGATATAAAAAAATGAATTCTTGAATAAAAAGTTAGAATAAGAGGTTTTAAAAACTCATAATCCTAAGGATGAACATCTTGATGCAATTCACATAATTAAGGTATTTAAAGAAGACTCTTGGACAGCCTAATATTTAAGAAAAGTGAAGACAAAATTACGAAATCTTCACCGATTCTAGTTAGATATTGCTTTATTTGGGGTAACTTAGTTACATAGAGAAAAAGGGAGCAGTCAGTTGTAGCAAGGAGTAGTTTTGAAACTATGTATAGAGCTTTAGTACTTGAAATTTGTGAAAGTATTCGACTGAAGAGGCTACTTACATAATTGAGACTTAATCAATATGAAAACATTGAACTCTACAATAATATCAGTCAACCATTTGTATTATCAAGAACTCCTATCATGATAGAACTAAACATGTGAAAATTGATTGACGTATCATCTCAAAAATAGTCAATCATAAAGGAGTAAAACTGTTGTTTGCTCCTATCAGACTATACAATAGATACTAACTTTGGGAAGTGTAGATTAGAGGTGTGAGTATTAGTTATAGAATAATGTTTATTTTGTATTTATCTCTTTGTAGTTTGTCTATCTCTCTTAGTGATTTAATATTACTCTAAATCTTATCTTTAGTGTAAATAAAGATAATATCTAATATCTAGTGTAGTTCTAGTTAAAGTGAAATATAGAAGTGTATAAAAAAATATGTTGTAACCAAATTTTTCAAATGAAAATAGAGAAAAGCTTATAGTTTTGTCTTCATCAGAATCTAGGTTTTCTACCCATTGGCCGACCTATTGACATTTTAAAAATAATACTAATAAATTATAGAAACCCATTTTAGTATTCTTTCTGCACCGTGTGCATATGCAAACTGGTCATGAAAATTTCTCAAAATTTCACTTGGATGATGATATTCATATATTAAAGACAGTTGAGGAAAAATAAAACATAAAATACAAAAATGAAGCTGCTTCTTACTTGAAGCAGGAAGAACATTATTCTGCAAAGCACTCTAAACCTTGAAAATAGGGAATAAAAGTTTTGCCCATCTTGGAGATCAAACGTGTATATCAGTTCTTCTCTTCTGTTTCTTCTTTTTCCGTTTTTCTGTTTTGGGATCTGATCTTGCTTCTAAACGTTTCGACTGCTGAGAATGAATCTCTAACAAATTCGACTTTGCATCTCGAAATAGAGCATCCGATCTTGAAGCCATCAATTGCTGAAATCAAATTACATGCAACGGTTGGAAAAAACAGAGGTTTTGCTATTATTTTGTTAGAAATTTGATTGATAATATTGGCAAATCCATTTTACAAACCTTTAGACGATCCATTGCAGAAAGGTTGAAACCAAGATTATCTTTGCATTCCTTGGAAATTCAAAGGTTATGTCATTGAAATAGATCCTTAAGTTTTCCCAGATCTAAAATTTATTTATGGATTATGTGATCATGTTGAACATAAATTCGATAGTAGAATAAATTTTTTTTTAAAAAAACATTAATGGAATCTGCAGGTTTAAAACTCCATACCGGACCAGACCAGAATAGGGCTATATACATTCTCATTATGAGAAGGGGTCATTTGAATCATAATCTGAAGTACATATTTACCTTAAATCGAGCACAAATAATCTCCTTTAGAACAGCCAGCACCGGTCTGGCAGATGAGGTACTAATTAACTATGGTGTGTCTGCAACAAAATTGAAACGATCCTGCAAACTAGCTCAACCTGTGAAAATGGTATACATTGTAATAACAACAATAAGTATTACACAAGTCCAGCACTCAAATGCATAAAACATATGCTTTCTTAACATCAAACGCTTTAGTGTGTCAGAGAGAGAGAGAGAGAGAGCATGGTGTACATGCCACACATCTTTTTACCAAAACATCTGACCAAAAGCACATTTATAAAGCGTAGACGCCAGCCTTGTCAGGATTTGAAGTCCAGTCCTTCGTATAGGAGAGCAGCTTGAGTGCACCTGAGAATGGTAATGCCTGGGCATAAAATAACTTGGACTCAGATATTGAGATAAACAATAAGATGCCTAAAAAATGACAAGATCCTATCTGAAGACTGTAATCTGCAGCATAGCATCATGCAGTAGAATCCAGAAGACAAGTTAACTACTAGACAAACAAAGATAGTCCAGCCTCCATATTTGATTTTTTTATAATAATTGTCACGACCTGAATCACTAACTTGGCTATTAACATGGCTGGAATAAGAAAAAGAAACTCAAAAGTGACTAGAATTTCAGTTGATGAGTGGTCTTTGGTCCCATTATTAGGAAAATAATTGACTAAACAATAGAAGATCACGGATTACAATCTTAAGAAAACAGTCGCAATCAGGTAGATCAGAAAAAGATAAGTGATAAGAGGTGCATATCCAGAAGTTTCAATTATGAGCTTAATCCTCATAGGCTTGATTTTGGGTGTAACTGTCTCCATGAATGCACTAGAAAACATGGATGAAATACCGTATCATCTTTTCAAGAATTTAGTACTAGAACTATAGAGAATGCCACACACAATGCTCAATTATCAGTAACGTCTGCTCCATATCATCGGTACTAATATTTGAGAGAGCACGAAGGACATAGTCTAATATTGGAGGTAATCTTTGGTCCCACTATTAGGTAAATAATTAACTCAAAAATAGATCATGGACTACAATCTGAAGAAACCCGTCACAATCAGGTAGATCACAAAAAGATAAGTGACAAGAGGTGCTTATCCAGAAGTCTCAATTATGAGCTTAATCCTCATAGACCTGATTTCAGGTGTGTAACTGTCTCCATGAATGCACTAGAAAACATCGATGAAATACCATATCATCTTTTCCAGAATTTTGTACTAGAACTAGAGAGAATGCCATGCACAATGCTCAATTACCAGTAAAGTCTGCTCCAGATCATTGGTGCTAATATTTGAGAGAGCACAAAGGACATAATCTGATGGGGACAACCCAAGCATAACAAATTTGGTTGGAATTCAGCAACTTTTCCTCTGGCTAGCTCCTCCTGAAATATAACATAGTAAACATATTAATTGCAACACAACTATTTAAAAACTATCCTCTTTCAGTTTTCTTCAAGCATTTTCTGCTGCTCTACAACTTTCCTTAACAACTCTAACAAGCATTTCTGAGAGAGATAAACATCATCTCTGCAAGACTGATTTATCATATTGGCAGTTATATCTTTCTATAAGTAAAAAAAAAGGAAACCGTTGGTCTTATATTCAATATAGTGGAATGGTAAAGTAACGACCACACCACTCCCATATGGTTAATAACTTTCATTTTCTTTTGTACTTCTTCCATAGGGGAAGAGAAAATTATTTAAAAGCGTCAATCATTGAGAATCAAATACATATTTAGCGTCATTAAGGCCTTGCTCAATGGTAAGGTTGAAGCCCTAAGAACCATAATGTCCCAGGTTCAAGCCTCACCATACGTAAATATCATGTGCAGGGCCTTAGTCCAGACTTTATTTTGATTTAAGTCCCACTATTTCAACAGCTCCCTCCTCTGGAAGTTCTTCCTTTGGTATATGTCTATCTTCAAACGTACTGTCAATGCGATCCCAACGGCAAAATTACATAAACAATTAGGATTAAGAAACCTTCTGCATTCCATAGTAATTAAAATCTGAGAAAACCTGTCAGCATGAGCAAAGATGGATTTGTGGCAATCACCAAAATCCAAGCCCCAAATCCTCAAATCTTGTCTGCGGATCCAGTTACAATTAAATCTTCATTTGATGAAATATCCATACATAAGACAGGAAGTTTGTGGCCGTAGAAGGAAAATTTTGAGTGAGTCCATAAAAAGAATCTGAATAAAAAGGGAAAAGAAAATCATTATTCTCATAATAGGCTCATATTAATGCAAAACAAGCTGACTTGCATGTCCTAATTGATAATAGGATACCACAATATCATGCATGCTATTTTGAAGTCAAATCAGAGAGATATTCAGTTGGTTAAACTTCATTTTTTCCATGAGAAGCTTCTACCAGAACACGCTTAGAGAGAAGGAATCAGAAACAAACATCTTTGAAATCAACAGATTTTTTTTTTTTTGATAGGAAAAATCAACATATTTAATTAGCACATATAAGTCGATAAGACATGATTAGTGCAGTGGCATATGGATGCAAGGTCACATATAACGCTTGACCAAAAGTGAGACATAGAAGGTTCTAAACAGAGGGTTGAAGACGTTGACCAAAAGTGAGATGGAAGGAAAGGGCAATTATATAAATCAACTTTGTGTTTTACAAGTTGAGCAGGAAATTGCATGATGCTTCTGATTACAAATTATAGTAAAACAATAACAGAAAAATTCACCAAGCCAACCAACAGTGGACAAATTAAAATTCAAAACAGAGAAGGATAAGTCAACCATTCCTACCTTCACAGTGCAATCCAACAATGTAACAGCAACATATTTAACATCTGGGCTAACAGCAACCACTAAAACATCATCGTTCATTTTCATAGTCCTTACATTTGTTATAGTAAGGCTTTTGGAATCCTGAAAATCAACAAGGCCAATTCACTCATCAGTTTACTCAGCATGAAAACTACATTTGTAATAAAGGATAAGTTATACAGTCCAGTACATATTATATCAAGGCAAAGCTTGAAAAGGTGACAGTTGGAGAAAATAAATAAAATAGATATAGATACTTGAAAACTTTAAGTAGGTTGTGAAGGTATGAGGAACACACTTGACCAGGTTTTTGCTTGATCTGGTATTCCCAGAAATTTACATCATGGTCTGCACTGCTGGTAAAAAACCATTTCCATTTGGAATGGTAGTAATTGACCTTACAGAGCCACCATGAGCTTCAACAACTTCACTGCAAGTACCACTACCAATGTCAATAATTTCAATTTACACATCTTTAATGCCAAGTGTCAACCATTGCATATTTGTTATGGGGTACAATTAGACCAGAGTCCAGAACCAGAATCAATTGTTCAAAGGCAAGAACCAGTACATGGATTCCAAATCTTCACAGCATTGTGACTAGTTGACATTAAAAGACTATTGTCTGAACTAAGTGTGACACTTCTAACATCGGAACGGTGTCCTTGAAGCTCAAATAGCAAGTGTTTTCGTACTTGCACTACTTTCAATTGAATAAAAACTCCAGTAAGATATTATTCAAAGACATTGCTAAACTACCTAGTCAACTCTTTGGAGTGACTGGACAAAAATAGATGGAACAGATTTTTTTGCTGGCTCGAATATTTTGAAGAAGCTTAAAACCATCAGGAACTGTAACAACCAAGATATTCCAAGCTTCTTCAGTATCATGATTTGCTTCTACATTTTCAGTTGCTTCAACTTCCATTTTCGCAGACTTCTTATCTTTCTTCCTATTATGTCTTCGTTTTGCTTTGCGCTTGGATTCAACTTTATCCAATACGCGGAATATTTCAACCGTTTTCCCAGCTACCCGACAAGCAAGCAAATTTCCTGACTTGCTAAATCTCACAGTTGCAACCCTCCTTACTTTGTCGCTTAATTTCACCAAAGGGCTTTAGAACTTTCCACTTATTTTGAGTAAATGACTCATCATCATTCCCAATTTCAGCCCAGTTACATTCACCATAGACTCTCCACTCTCAAGCTTTACATTGTAAAATATGAGTTCAAGATCTGCTGAACCACTGACCAAGTATCTTTCATCTGGGTCAACATCAATTGACCAAATTTCACTATGATGGCCACTGACTATTTGCATACAATGCTGAGTTTCAAGATCCCAGACTGGCAGACTCTCAAAAATTTATCCTTGGAAGGACTAACAAGTTTGTTACCAGAATCAAGGAAAACAAGGTCTGTTATCTGCAAGTCGCAAAATGCAAAGAGATTAAAGCATATACAGATAACAAATACCACAATACTTCCTCAACTTCAATAGAAAATTTTACAAATGACAAACCTGATCATGATGCCCACGAAGGCGAAAAATTCCTGTCTCATCAACCACATCCCACAATATAATATCATTGTCTTTACTTCCAGAAGCAAGTAGAGATCCAACCTTATTGTACCTTAAAGCAGTCACAGCCCCTTTATGTCCATTCAATGTAGTCTCACAACTTCCTTGATCACAATCCCAAATCTTTATAGTACCATCTGCGATTGTTACCTGCAATTTAAACCTTTCGCACTTATTTTCATGAAAATCACTAAAAATTCATGAAGAACTTTAAGACCTCGTTGGGTTGTTACTAATTTACTATTACAGATCACGAGTTTTTAAAAGTTCCTAATTTATCAATGCAAAAACAACATTGGGAATGTTTATTATCCAGAAAAATATATATATTTATATCCAAACGAAATTTTCAGGTTTAACTTCAATCAAAGGTATGAAATAAAATAAAACAGAGAATAAACTACAATAAATTATAAAGGAAGAGAAAGAAAGGAAAAAAACTTTTACCAGTGAAGAAGGGGAGGAGGCGACACATGTGACGGCGAGAGAGGGGCCGCGTAAGGAAACAGAAGGAGATAGAGTTTTGGTGCAGACGCCTTGGCGGACGTGCCAAACACCGAGCTTTTCGAGAGCAGGGGCGAGAAGGTGTTTGCCTGAGCTGTCGAATGTGATGTTCGATTCAACGGATACAATTACACCAAAGCAGCCGCCGGCTCGTACCTTAGGTAGAATTTCACCATGGCCGCCCGCCGCCGCTGCTGTTGCTTCTTTTTGCTCTGGCGGGTTGAGCTTGTTTCAGCCGTTGAGGTTTAACCGTTTCAAGGTTTAAGCAAAGGTCTCTGTTTCCACTCTCCACCAAATTTCGTGTCTTTCTATCGATGGTCAATTATAGATGGGCTAATTTAAAGCCCGATATAAAAAACCCATTTAATTTTGGGCTAAACCCAGCCCAAATATCTTTCTTGCATCCATTTTTTTTACGGTAAGCTAATTATTTAGTCATCTATTTATTTCTGTAGTCCTTGAAGACACTAAAATTCATCCGTTAAAATTATAATATACATATATATATAATTATATAACAAATTATAATACATGTATATATTATTATTTCAGGCCCAAAGCCATTACAAACAAATCCAGCAGCCCGTTTATAAGATCCAGCAGTCCAGAAGAGGCCCAATAGCACGTGACCCAGCAAGCTAGGGTTCTCGAACCCTAGCATCCCTCCCAGCGCCGCATGGTCAACAACATACGTCTAAGAGTCCCACGGTCGAATCCTTCGGTCAACAACCCTCACCCATGTCCGAGTTTCACGGGCACCAGTCTCTCGCCCTCAACAAACCCGCATCTTCCGGCGCAAGGATCTCGGTCAGCACCAACATACCAACGACGCAAACATCAGTTTTTCATTCGAAATGAAATTCCTAGAAATAGGTTTTGCTTCTACTATAAATTGATGTAACAAGATACTACGAATTTACACAATATCAGAGAGATTACTAGAGGCAAAAATCACACATGATTCCACACGAATATTACGCACAAAATACTAGGAAAACACGAAAGAAAAACCGAAGGAAATCCAAGCTTTTGTAAAACGTTCGAAAATGCAATAAAGAGAAGGTATTTTTTTCTTTTACCTGTTCATCGTTCGGTTGGTTGCATGCGTTGCTTTCTTTTATGTTGATTTGAAAAGCAAAAGATTTGGGGCCGATAAACACAAGGGAACCGAGGTCTTTTCTCTTAGATCTACGGTTCCCCGAGGCTTGATTGTAAAAAAGACTTTGATTTTTAAACCGAGGGTACGAAGAGCTTTTAAAAAAACCAAATATTTCAAGTTGGTCGCCACCAATTTACGGCGGCCGGCGAGGCAGCGACCCATCGGATTCTGGAAATTTAGGGTCGTGTTCTTCATCCTCGATGAACAGGCGAGAGGATGAAGAGGAGAAGGGGGCCTCGGCTTGGAGAAGAGAGAAATGAGCCTTTTAGAAATTATTTTTGATTTTATACTCGGTCCATGGATCAAGCTGGTGACCCGCGTGTCGACCCTGACCTGGGAAAGATCCGCGCGTTTCTGCGCATTAAGGGGTAAACCTCGATTTTGGTCCCTTTAATTTTAAAACGATTCTATTTTGACCCCCTAAATCGAATTTGAACCCGATTTTCCTCTGAATTTGGCCCTCAATCTGGGTTTTATTTCAATTTGGTCACATACGAGTATTTTACCAT